CGACAGCAATGCTACCAAAGCTTAGGGGATCTATGCTCGGCACGTTGGCCGCCATATAAAATGCTGCAGCTGCTACAAGACGACCGTGGGCATTCAGTACATAGGTCCTCACGTCATTACCGACCTGCAGTTAGCTTTGAATGAGCCAAAGCGCTGGAAGATAAACGAACCTGAGTTTAAACAGGTAGAGCTTGACGCGAAAGACTGAACTCGGGGATTAGGAACGCATTGCCCTTCAGAGCGGAAAGGTGAAAATTATTCGACTATAATACTGCGCACAGTACTGCCTGTGAAACAGTGACACACCATTAACATAGACACAACGCTCTTTCCATGCCCTTGAATGAAAAACCTAGTAGTTTTGCGGAAACGTAAACACAAATCTCTCAAAGTTTCTGATAGACTTAAAAAAGCAGCCCGAAGAAACTGAGTGTTCGGCCCAGACTAGAAGCCCATCACCCTGCGCTAGAAGACTAAAATGACAGTAACTACGCTCATAAATAGGACACTTCTAGGATAACCAGTCTAGCAGTGACTTTGTCGTAAAGTTTTTCTCCGAAATTTAATATCCTGGGTCTAAAACGAGCGCCAAACGTCGAAACACTGATTACAAGAAAAAATCCCGGAAGAAAACACTGACGTTTGGCGTGCAGGGCAACCGAAATCTTATCATCGGCGTGTCGGACAGATATTTTTCTAGAAAGTGGCACACAAAAACAATAGAATATCACTCTTTTGACAATTTATTAACCAACCACAAGTACGCAAGGAACTTGGCCAATTTACAGTAGAATGTAAAGAGCCAATGGGGACATACATAAAGGTAAATGGCAGAATGAAGACCCTTAAAGCGGCAGTCAGTTTAGAGCCATGAGATTAATTAGCAATAACTCACTTAATCCCCCCGCATTTCCGATGCTCAACAGACCACTTTAAACGATTTGATTTCACGTCATTAGCAAGTTTTTGCGCAATGTACCTCCGGCGGAGACGGCGACTGTTTTTTCTATGCTGCAAAGAATACGTGGAAGAATCCAAAGGGGCAACGGTGCGGACCAGGGAGGAGTTATTTCTTTGTGGTTGTGATAAGAATGAGCTATGTGTGGGAAGAGCATTGGCATTAGTCGTCTCAGAATCATCCCTCTCAGCTTCGCTGATCGTTCTTAGATCATGCACCGAAAGTTTTTCCGGCGTTTCAACAGCATATTTGTCCATATCCGTCTTCGCTGGTGGCGACGTTTCATCTGTTTGTACAGCTTGTGATGATCCAAATCTGTCACGCAAAAAGGACTGAAGAACAAGCTCCTCTTTCTGCTTTGTATAGAAGTAGTTAAAATTAGAAACAATGACCGGTACAGGGAGAGCGATAGTCAAGACGCCAGCCACCGCGCAAACACAGCCCACGAACTTTCCAAGAGCGGTACGAGGATGCATGTCACCATAACCAACGGTTGTCATTGTCACAACTGCCCACCAAAATGAGTCGGGAATGCTTCTAAAAGTGTTTGGTCGGACATCAATTTCTGCATAATACACCGACGACGCAAATAATACTACACAAACCAAAATGAAACATAGCAGAAGAACGAATTCTCTACAACTTGCAATCATTGTTTTGCCTAAAACTTGGAGTCCCATAGAATGTCTCGACAGTTTGAATATTCTGAAGACACGTATAAGTCTTATTGCCCTGAGGAAAGGAATCGAAGATATGTTGCTGGATTGATAAAGGTCCGCAAAAAAGGCCGCGAAGCAGACGTAAAAGGGTAACACGGAGGCAATATCAATTAAGTTGAGAGGACTACGGAAGAACTTCAACTTGCTTGGACAAGCATAAAGACGAAGGAGAAGTTCGAAAGTAAACCAGATCATACATACAATTTCAACCATGAAAAACGGTTTACTAAAAAGTGTGATATCTGCTTTCAATAGTGGCATATCGTTATCCAAAGAATCCCTGTCAATATGATACGTCGTAAACTCGGGGAGTGTCTCCAAACAGAAGCAGGAGACGGAGATTATAATCATAAACATTGAAAAAGAGGTGAACCACTTCGCTTTTCTTGAACTTCTGGGGTATTCAATTAATAGCCAAAGCGACCTCCGAAACGGATTCCTAGGCAATTCAAACCTAACTCGAGATCTTAACCCTTCATCTTGACGAAACCGTTGCATTGCAGCGGGACCAAGTTCGAAAAAATTGATTTCATCCATAAAAGCGTCAATCGGAACATTTAGGGGCCTGTGAAGCTCGCCCCTGCTTTGGTAATAAAACAATATGGCCTCGAAGCTGCTCCTGCTGCGGTCAAAGAAGTATTGTCCCCGGGCGGGGTCATAGTAGCGGGCTCGTGATTCTCGGTTGCCAAGTAGTGTATGGGGAAAGCGACTCAAAGTAGACTGTCGCGTCTCGAAAATCAATCCACTGACGTTAATCACAACTTTCTCGTCTTCACCAGCTGGACTGCTTTTTTCAATGGGATCTTCGTCCGAAAGTGTATTAAGTCCACCAAACTGGTAAGAATGGGCTTTTCTATTAGAGAAAAAAATACGCAATGACCAGCAGGATGCATTTTTAGATGAACAGAAAACATCATATGAGCCGAACAAACAGTCATCGGAATTCGATGAAGAACGTAGAACAATTCCAATGTGATCCTCAAAAAAAACACAAAACGGCAGAACACATTTTCCGGAGTGAATAATACAACAGTTGCAATTTCAGATGTTAACTGTCAACAGAAGAGGACCTCTGAGACCAGGGAACATAGCCTGCAGTATTGGCGAGCTTTTTAACGGACGGTGGAATGTCCGGAACAGCCTTGTTGCCTATCCATTCGGCATTCGCCCACATCAGTTGTGATTTGACGGGCTGTTCTGCGAACTAACCAACATAATATTGCCTCGGTTACTGGTGTTCAGGGTTTTGGAGAAAGCAAGGGTTGTAAACTCAGCAAGTTAGAGATATGGGTGTAGAACTTAACGGCAGATCAAGCTTTCCTAGAAATTCCTTTTTTTATTTTTAAACCAGCACAGTGTAGTGACCGAGCGAGGGACGGATGCCGGATCACATTTTATGAAGGAAGGGGGTGATGGTAACTTGAACTCAGATGGTCCAGCCGATTGGAAGATCCGGTCTTAAAGGCCTTGCATCTCAGAGTGGACCAGATCGGGATGAGCAGGCATGCGGGACATGGGATAAGCAGCACAGGCGGTAAAAAGATAAAAGTTTATTCGTGTTTACAAAAATGGAAAACTGATAAACGAGGCTACGGATGAACCAAAAATACAATGGAACGACTTATCGGGAGAGGTCGGCGGTTATTCGTCGGCAAGTGGCTTAGGAAGCAAAGCTCCTGCAAGGTAAACGGGAGAAGAATGTCACTAGCGTGACATTTCATTAAAATACTCGAGGTCGGTTCCCTGGTCGGATCTTCGGCTGTTACAACAGGCAATCGAACTCATGTTAGGCGCCTGAATACTCGGCGGGAATTCAGAATACCAATAAAGTAGTGTTTTGGAATATATCGAATACTTCCTTTTGACTGTGAAAAACTCTGCGACTTCAGTAGGACGAGAACACAGGACAGCAAAGGCAGAACTTGAGTACGGCCAACGCTCTAGCCACCTGCACTACGAGACCCCAACTGGATGCGTGAGTTCAACCACAAAATGAGAGGGAGTTACAGGGGGTGAGCTCGAATTCTCATCGCTCTTGGTCATTTCGGAACATAAATATGTCCAGATTCTTCTTAAAACTTTGTATAGATGGTGACATCACAACATCTGCGGGAAGCTCATTCCACGGT